GCCAAAAAAAAAAAAATCAATTATTTTTTTTTTCTTTGAGAAATGAGATAAGCCAATCATATGCTTCCACGTTTCAAGTCAGCGGTCAACAATGTGAATTTTGTAGGCCCAAATGTCTTGGGAGCCTCCGTTGTGAAGTTCTATTAATAATTTTATTTTTCAACACACACATATATATTGTGAACTTTTATATAAATCAAAGTATTATAAATTCACAATATAAATATATACTTTTTTTTTTTTGAAAAAATATGATTTCGTGGATCACGTTAGTCAGCTTAAAGCTAGCCATTTTTTTCCTTCCACTTAATAAAAAAATAAATATTATACAAGTCCACCATATGTACCTCGAATATCAAATTTTACAGCTTGACCTTTATGTTTACAGGGTTAAATAATTTTTTTTTTTAGTTAACTGTCGGCCTTTTAAATAAACTATAATATTCCAATTTAACTTCAAAGATCATCTAAAAATAATAATATTCGCATACATTTTTTTTTTAAAAAAAAAATCACATTTTAACTCACCCATTTTTTTTTTTAATTCAACTTATAACTCAATCCACTATCATCAATACTAGTATTCGACCCTGTAAATTTGCACAGATGTAAATAAAGTATTATAAGTGATTGTATGCATATAATATTAAAATTATAAGTTATAATGGTTATATTTTAAACATAGAGTGTTATAAATTATATTCATGCATATCGTTTTTAAAATTATAAGTTAGATAAAAGTATTATATTTTTCAATTTGATCATTGATTAAAATAAATAGTACATAACGATTTAATTGCATATGAATCACTAGATTGATTGCATAAAATATAATAAATAATGTAATATTTGTAATTTTGAGGGATCAAGAACAATTAATTAGCTAAAAAGTATTAAATTTTATTATAACAATTGCTTATGAGATTTAAGAAATTTTACTATGACACTAAAATAAATTAATTTATTTTAAAAAAAATCTCTTAATCAAATAAAAAATATAATATTAAGTTTAAAATAAATAACTAGAACACAAAGTTTTTACAATATAGTTTTTTATGTTTATTTAACTTTGATATACTATGTATGTAAAATATAATTATTCGTTTTAATAATAATAGTTATACGGTACAATAGAAAATATAATTATTACTCAACTAATATAAAATGTAACGATTTGGACTTAATTAACCAAAAAAATGTCCAAAAAAATATTTTATCATTAATGTGATAGGGTGAATTAATATTAATATAACAATAATAATGATGGTGGTGATAATAATAATAATAATAGTAATAATAATAATAATAATAATAATAATAATAATAATAATATAGGATTGTAACGGTTATTATATTAGGAAAGTGACACCTAGGTATTATTTATTAAGTAAAATTAAATAGGTTGATTTATCAGGTAAAATTTATTGCAAAGCTAGCAATTATATAGATATAAATATATATATTATCAATATAATTAAAATAATATGAATCAATAATTTATATACACCACATCAACCTTAATTCACAATTGATCAGCTAACATTATTTTAACTATCACTTATAATCATTTCTCTCCTGCTTTTACATAAAATTAATTTTAATTATTTTATTTTAAATATTATTTTAATATACTCACTAATAACTAAACATACCACATTTTTCACAATTAACCAAATTAAATAAAAAAAATCCAACCAAACCAAAAACTTTTAAATGCAAATTGTAAAAGTTTGGCTGACACAGACCTTTCAAGAACTACTTATACAAAGATTAAATTAAAATAATCACAGCTAATACAAAGTAAGTTCCTTGACTTCTCAATAAATATAAAAAATACAAATTTTCCTTTTTGAAGAAATTAAATTCCCAAGTTTGACTTATACACCCCACGTCCGTTAATTATTATTATGATTATAATGAGTTTCTATATATAATAATTGAATTGAAATTAAAAAAATAAAGAGAAAAAGAAAAAAAAAAAACATTGAATTACGCAATTTTTGTATGGCAAAAAGTCAATTTGGTGTCCCAATAATCGAGCAAAATAATTGTAATTATGTGCTACAATAAATTGTTACATAAATAGGAAAAAAACTGTAATTAACATTTTTGTTTTTCAATAACTGTAATTATTCATCATTAGACCTTTTCATAATCTGGGCATGCACTAAAATAGCTATTCGCTTTATCTTGATTTTTGCTCTTTTTAAACTTATCGGTTGAGTTCAAAAAATTTCAAAATTTAAAATACATTTTTATTGGAAAAAATGTACATTATAATTTTTTTATCACTACGGTCCCGCTACGGAATCATTCAGTCGAGGTTTGTAATCGTTAGAATCATCATGTAACCGTAATAGATGATCTAACGGTTACAAACTCCGACGGAAAGATTAGTATTTCCCATTCTTTATTACCAGGATAAAAATACATATAAAAATACATATTAATCAAAGTAATTTAAGTTTAATCTGAAACAAACAACTACAATATTAAAAAAAAAAAAGTACAAAAAAAAATTAAGTTTAATTCTGAAATAATTACTAACTAATTATGACCCTTTAAACACGAATAATTACGAACCTGCCATTCCTTGAGGCCCTGTTCGCTGTCGGGATCGGACTTCTTGACGGCGACCGGGACTCCGACGCCGACCTTCGACGGCGCGAGCGTCTTCCCGTCGACATACCCCTTGAAAACCCGGCCGAATCCCCCCTCACCGAGCACCGTGTCCGGCCGGAAGTTCCTGGTGGCGCTCCTCAGCTCCGCCAGCGTGAACATCTTCAGGTTCGGCGTCACGATCTTCCCGCTCGCCGGAACCGCCCCTTCTCCGCCTCCCTGATCCATCGCCGCCGATCCGCGGCGGCCGTGGCCGTTGGCTGAGAAAACAAACCAGTGCGGCAAACCGTAAGCATAATTTTCGCCCAAATTTGATCGCAACAGAAAAAAAGGGGGAAAAAATTAAAAAAGACTTACACACGCACCCATGTGGGTGAGTGTGTGTGTGTGTGTGTTTATTTACCTGGGCTAGTGGGCCGAGTGAGGTTAGCGGTGGGGAGATTATCGACGGGCTTGGGCCAGCAGTTGCCCATTTTCTCTCTCTAGGGTTCAGGCAATATTTGTGAGGTATTGAAGGTTGCAGGGAAGAAGAGAAGAAGATAGAGAGGAAAGTGGTGGCACCAACAAATTAGAAACACACACGGCTCAATGGAGGTATTAATAAATAAATTACATATTGTATTTTATTTAATTATTTATGCAAAATTTTAATTTTAATAATTAAATAGACAATAATAATATCTTGACCAAGAAATTAGAAACACACACACACACACACTGTTGTTGCGTTTGACTTATTCAAAACTACTGTACTGTGGGCTGTATGGCTGGGTGTGGACTGTACTACTATTAAGTTTATTATTATGTAGAGAGAGACTAGGTTAGGTAGTAGGTTTTAATATAGAATGAGATTGATAGTGAAAATAGTCTTTCTCACCACTGTGGGAAATGTATTAATTTTTTCACATTGTTGGTAAATAAGTTTTCTTTTTCAGCGAAAGACATTGTGCGATGAATAAGCGATAATTGCGCGATAAGATGAGTGCGAAGGCATTCGCATATTCTTCGCACTTTTTGGGGTGGAAAAAGTTAAAGTGCAAAGGCATTGCGCGATGAATATGACAATTGATATGCGACAATTATTCAGTCTATTCGTATAACCTTCGCACTTCCCAGGGTGAAAAAAGTTAAATTGTTACTAGGCGGTGTGAAAAACTTAATGTATTTTTGTATTGGGATGAAAAAAAGATTTTTTTTTTTTTCCTTTTTTGATACTTTGATGTTATTTTGACCTATCAATTGTAGTAATGATGGAGGGAGTCCTAGATACTCATATTGTTTTTAATATATATATATATATATATATATATATATTTTAAAAAATTATATAGATAAGAAGTAATATTTTATAGGCAAAATTGCAATTTTAATCATGTTGGTTTGATCCAGTGATATTTTTAGTCATAAGAATTGAACATTTTTGTTATTTGGTCCAATGATTTTAAAATTCCGTGCAATTTTAGTCATTTGGGACTGAAAATGCAACAAAATTTAAAATTAAATGACTTAAATTGCTAGTAAAAAAAATTTTGGATGGGATTTTCATTAACAATTTAAGTCCTGTAATTTTATATTTCGTTGCAATTTCAATCTCAACGTGATAAGAGGGTGCCACAAAGGCTAAAAGGTAAGTTCTATAGGACGGCGATTCGCCCGGCGATGCTATACGGTGCTGAATGTTGACCTACAAAAAGGCAACATGTCCAACAACTAAGTGTAGCAGAGATGCGGATGTTGCGTTGGTTTTGCGGGCACACAAGAAGGGATAGAATCCGAAATGAGGATATTCGAGATAGGGTCGGGGTGGCTCCAATTGAGGAGAAATTGGTTCAACATCGGCTGAGGTGGTTCGGACATGTCCAACGGAGGCCTCCTGATGCACCGGTGCGTATGGGAGTTCTACAGCGGGCCGATGTTGTTAAGAGAGGTAGAGGTCGGCCTAAACTCACTTGGGAAGAGTCGGTTCAGAGAGACCTTAAAAATTGGAATATCTCAAAAGATTTAGCGGTGGATAGGAGCGCTTGGAGGCTAGTGATCAACGTGCTGGAACCGTGACTTTTGTTCTTTTTTTTTTACCACTGTTTCTATTGGTTTCATCTCTAGCCTACCAACTTGTTTGGAATTAAAAGGCTTTGTTGTTGTTGTTGTTGTTGCAATTTCAATCTCAAAGGACTGAAATTGCAGCAAAATACTAAATTTCAGGATCAAAAGATAAAAAGTTCTAACTTTTGGACTAAAAATGCTACGACGTTAAACCAACAAGACTAACAATGCAATTTTGTCTATTTTATAATGTATATATACAAGACTAAATTTTGGATTTTTTATTAGTATAATTATATTATGATGTTTTATAATATAAACATACACGGACTACATTGTGATCTTTTTATTATTGTAATTAAGATACGTTATTGATGAGCGTTCATTTGTTTTATTTATTCTTAATGGAAAGTGATTAATTTTGTAAAATTTATTCTAGCTATTATTTTGCTAATAATTGACCCTCCGTAGCCTAGGATAGATTTGGTTTTCTAAAGTGTTTGTATATATGTATGTTATACTTTAAAATTTTAATTCACTTTTCATGTAACAACTAATGCATTTAATAACTAAAATTACACATTTATTTGGGATTCGAAATTTGTTCCAATAGCATTTTATGCTCAATGGTTAGTACCGCCTGATAATTAAGTGCACATACGATTTCTATAAATATGCATATAATCAAACTCAAATATCACATTTTAAATTATAATATAAATAAAAATATCATGTTTTAGAAGATAATTATGCATTATTGTTAGAAATATGAGACAAAAAAATATATAATCTTTGTGTTTTATGCTTTAACATAGAACTCTGCTTTTTTTATCTTCCTTTTTGTTTTTTTACACAAAACCCCTTTGTATTTATTTTTCAATAATAATTAGTTATGCCTATAAAAAAATAAAAAAAAGGTAATACTGTGTGTGGTTTACTAATAGACTTCTTAAGAGCATTTCTAATACACAAATATTGTTGTGGTAAATTATATTCTACATCAACACATTTAGCAATGTCACATCTTTTCATCATCTAATTAATGTGATAACAAATGTTGTGGTTAATCTCTACAGTGTGTATTGGAGGATGAAAAGTTGTGACTAGAGATGTTAAACGGGCTAGCCCTAGTGGTTTCGGGCTAGCCCTAGCGGGTTTCGGGCTAAACGGTCTGGTCCTAAAAAGCCCAAATTTAAACGGGCTATCAATAAAAGGATCTAACCCTAACCCTAACCCTAGCAGGCTTCGGGCTAAATGGGCTACAATAATAATAATAATAATAATAATAATAATAATAATAATAATAATAATAATAATAATAATAATGTATCAAAAAATATCAAAAAAAAATTAAAAAATTATAAAAAAATTACAACGACTAATTAATGATTGTTTTCAACGGTATTTAGTATTCACCGCTCTATATATACAACTACACATCATATATGAACACACGTTACAAACTCTTAAATAACATATTTTTTTTTCAAAAGAAAAAAATATTCGAATTATTATTTACAATTACCTTTTTACTACTTATTTTGTACGCTTCGGAAATTTTTACGATATTATATCATTATAAATTTTATCACTATATTTCATGTGTTAAGTCTTTGTCTCATGTGTTTCATGTTAGTCGTTCTGATTGGCTTAAATATTTTGGTGGGGAGTACAATAAGAATATTGTTAATAATTATCTTTCAAAATCATTATAATCCATTACAGCTCATACTTACAAGTGAAGTGGAATAGCAAAATTGTAATATACAATGAATCTAAGAGCATATTACTTACTTGCTGCAAATATTTACAACGTCCAACTCAAGTTAAACGGGCCAACCTTAGCGGATTTTGGGCTAGCCCTAACAGGCTTCGATTTAAATGGTTCGGGCCTAAAAAGTCCTGATTTAAACGGGCTACCACTAAAAAGCCCTAACCCTTTTTTCTCAGGCTAAACGGGATGGCTCGTCGGGCCAAGGACCGTTTAACATCTCTAGTTGTGACATTGCTGTATATATGAATTTAAAATGAACAATCTTATATACCATATAAATTTAAAATTTTAAGACATTTTTCGTGTAAAATATATTAATAACTAATTATATAATAAAATGCATGTACAATATGGTTTATTTCATCTAATAATTGTTT